TGTTCGTAATTTGTGGTTACGTTTTATTTTTTTACTCCGAATCCCTTTGAGATCCCAAGATAAAACTTACAATACATGTAAAGCACATTTGCCCTAACATTTAGTAAAATTTTGAAAAAAATCGAAGATGATGTTTTTTCAAAAACGAATTTTTAATTTTTCAAAATTTCAAAAAAAAAAAATTTTTGAATTTTTTTATTTTATTTTAATTTTAACTTAAAATATACTTAAAACCAAAGAAATCCTTTTTTTAAAATCCAAAATCGGTTAATTAGAACCAAAGTTATAGCACTTTCAAAAAAAAAAGACAAAAATTTTGAAAATGCCATATTTTTGGTAATTTTCAAAATTTTGAAAAAATATTTGGTGGAGTTGTTTATCACTATAAAAGTAATGAATTTACAAAATTACAGCCAAATCCCAACAAGTCATGAAAATAAGTGTGTTGAACTGACGTGGAATCCACCACATTCTAAAAGCAATGCCACGAGTTGAGACATTATAAAAAGGCGCGTTTGAGTTGAGATAGTTTAGTTTGTAGCGTTTGAGTTGAGATAGTTTAAAACGGAACGTTAGAGTTGAGATGAAATAAACGCGCTCCGATGAGTTAGTACAGAATAGAATGAGATCTTGGAGTTGAGATAATATAAAAACTCGCGGGCGAGTTACTATGAAATAGCCCGGGGCCATCGAAATGTTTTTAGAGGTGTCAGAAAAAAACGTATTTTGGATTTTTAAGTTTTTCGATCATTATTTTTGAGTATTAATTTATCTGGCAATTTTTTTTTGTTGCCATTGGATGTCCTTCTTCGAAGTACATATATAGTTTTGTCTTATTTTAAAAAGATTTAATTAAATTTATTCTAAAATGTGAGGAATACACTCGGGGCACTCGGGGTAAAGTCGCTCACCTGAAGTCGGGGTAAAGCCGCTCACTTAGTTTTAAATTTGAAATTTAGAATAAAATAATTTCACGTATTATATTTCAACAATAACACAATTTATGACTTATTAAAACAAAAATTGTAACTACATTTCACTTTCTCTTAATAAAATATAACACTATTTAAATCCATAGTTGTAATTCATGAAATCTATGTACATTATTTATGAAACCAATTTGTTGTTTATAGAATTGTTTATATAATTCATAAATTATCAATAATAAATCATACTTAAGACGGGAATAAGACGAACTTTAATATTTAAAAAATAAAACTGTTCCGTCTTGAAAAGATAAAGTGAGCGGGTTTACCCTGGAAAATTGTGATTTCGAAATTTGGTATATGTTTATTAAAAAGTTTCTCTAAGTAAAACTAAAAAAGATAAATCAAAAACTCTTTTTTATTTTTTTAGTAGAAATCATAAGCTTTCAAATGATATAAATTAACTTATATTTAGAGAATAATTTCCTAGATTTTAGCCGATCTGAAAAAAGTGAGCGGGTTTACCCCAGTATCCCCTATAATTAAAAATATTGGATATAAAAATATTTTTTAAAAACTAAAAATTATTTTAATAAACATTTGTAAATATACTATTGAATAATTAGAAAATGTTAATTCATTAACTAATTATATATAATTAAAAATTTTTAATATTCCTAAATAATAAAAATTTTGTAATAAAAAATAAATAAGTTAGCCTAGCTCAAAAGACAAATTTACTCAAAACAAGAAAAAAATATAAATAACGAACGATCTTAATAATTTAATTAATTAATTATATATAGGTAATTGTACAAATTTTAATATATTCAAAAGCAATTAAAAATTTTTAAATTAAAATAATTTAACCTCAAAAGAGGTTAAATTAAATAAATACACCTCCTGGGTGTTAATTACTGCCTATTTTCAAAATTATATATATATATATATATGAGGCATTCTTTCTCAAGTGGGTCACCCCTTCTCTCCATTTCAAATTTAAACCAAAAATCTTTTATAATAGCTCAAATTAAAGGTAAAAATGTCAGCTTTTCAATGCCGTTGGGCCCTTTTTGAAATATTAATTTTCAAATGAACTATAGAGAATTTAATGCCAAAAAACACTATGACCAATTCTTTTTCATGTTAAAAAACGAAAAAAACCCCAATTTTAAAAATTCTACAGGGCCTACAACATTAAATTATATGATAAATTAACAAAATTTCATATTATTTCCTAAAATTGAAGATGGCGAATCCAAAATGGCGGACTTAGAAATTAAAAATCAATCGGATTTGCCTAAAATTTGTTATTTGGGGGTTTTTGGGATCGCTGATGACGAATTTGGTGTTTATGTTTTAAAATTCAAAATGGAAAATTCAAAATGGCGGACTAAAAAAAATTAAAAATCAATCGGCTTTGCCTAAAATTTGTTATTTGGGGGTTTTTGAGATCGCTGATTACGAATTTGATGTCTATGATTAGGAATTTTATGTCAGCTTTTGAGAATTGAATATAACGGATCTAATATTGAGTGTTAGAAATTCAAAATTTTTAATCCAATAACGCTGCCAAATTTTTCTAAACAATTGGATTCTTTATGTAAGTTCTCCTAGCCTCTGTCATAGTTGGAGTGCTTTCTGTATGAATAAAATTTTCGCGTTGTTTGCTATGGGATTGCTGCTGTTCCTCAAGTTTTTTATGTTTGGTATAGGAATTATTATTAATAAAGCTATGCTCAAATGACCCTAAAGGACTTAGATTTAAAAAAATAAAGATAATTTGTTCAATTTATATTGAATTCTGAAAAGCTGACATCAAATTCCTAATCATAGACAGATAACACAGGCACACAAAAAAATAAAAAAGTCAAAACCCAGAGGTCACACCCCCCTATCCCCATGTTTTTGGGGTCGCTGACACCGAATATGACCATGAAAATTTTTTTTCATCGGCCATTTTCCCTCTTCCACCCCCTTGCACCTGCTCCCGGGGGTTGGAATTTCAGTTTAAAAAAAAGTGGAGTAGGGTGTCTATTCCTATGTTTTTTGGGTCGCTAAAACCAAAAAAGACTACCAAAAACAAATTCTTCCCTCCCTTAACCCCCTACAACCCCCTTAACACCCGAAAGGTGGGGGGTCGAAGTTCGAATTTTCACGAAAAGTCGATTACGGTGTCTAAACCTACGTTTTTTGGGTCGCTGAAACCAAAAACGACTACTAAAATCAAATCCTCTCCACCTCCGACCCCCTACAACCCCCTGCAATAATGTTTTTTAAATAAAACGAACCGATTTTTGGGAAATTGAAAATTAAATATTAATTATCAAAAATTATTGCAGGGGGTTGTAGGGGGTCGAGGGTGGAAAGGATTTGATTTTGGTAGTCGTTTTTGGTTTCAGCGACCCAAAAAACGTAGGTTTAGACACCGTAATCGACTTTTCGTGAAAATTCGAACTTCGACCCCCCACCTTTCGGGTGTTAAGGGGGTTGTAGGGGGTTAAGGGAGGGAAGAATTTGTTTTTGGTAGTCTTTTTTGGTTTTAGCGACCCAAAAAACATAGGAATAGACACCCTACTCCACTTTTTTTTAAACTGAAATTCCAACCCCCGGGAGCAGGTGCAAGGGGGTGGAAGAGGGAAAATGGCCGATGAAAAAAAATTTTCATGGTCATATTCGGTGTCAGCGACCCCAAAAACATGGGGATAGGGGGGTGTGACCTCTGGGTTTTGACTTTTTTATTTTTTTGTGTGCCTGTGTAATCAAAACTCAAAATAGCGGATCCAATACGGCGGACATAAAAAAAATTAGGAACTAATCGGATGCACTTAAAATTTGGTACTTATGGGTTTTTGGGGTCTTTGATTAGGAATTTCATGTCAGCTTTTCAGAATTAAATACAAATTGGACAAATTATAGTTATTTATTTATTTAAAAATCTAAGTTCATTAGGGTCATTTGAGTATCGCTTTATTCATAATAATTTCTATACAAAACATAAAAATCAGCAGCAATCACATAGCTGGCAATCAATATTTCAGCGTTATTGCATTCAAAATATCGAATTTCTAATACTCAATATAGAATCGGCGATCCCAAAAATATCACAGTAATGAACTTTTAGCAAATCTGATTAATGTTTCATATTACATTAACTATATTAGAACCATTATATTGAATTCTGAAAAGCTGCCATCAAATTCCTAACCATAGACATAAAATTAGTAATTAAACACCCTAAAAACCCCGGAAAGACGAGTTTTAAATAAAACCGTTTGATTTTTAATTTTTAAGCCCGCCATTTTGGATCAACCATTTTGAATTTTGAGAATCTGACATCAAATTCGTAATCAGCGATCTCAAAAACCCCCAAATAACAAATTTTAGGCAAATCCGATTAATTTTTAATTTTTAAGTCCGACATTTTGAATTCGCCATTTTGAATTTTGAAACATAAACACCAAATTCGTCATCAGCGATCCCAAAAACCCCCAAATAACAAATTTTAGGCAAATCCGATTGATTTTTAATTTCTAAGTCCGCCATTTTGGATTCGCTATTTTGAATTTTGAAAAACTAACACCAAATTCGTCATCAGCGATCCCAAAAACCCCTTTATGGTGAGTTTGAACAAAAATTATAAATTTTTTTAATTTTGGGCGCCATATTGGATTCGCCATCTTTAATTTTAGGAAATAATATTAAATTTTGTTAATTTATCATATAATTTAATGTTGTAGGCCCTGTAGCATTTTTAAAATTGGGTTTTTCTTCTTTTTTTAATATGAAAAAGAATTGGTCATAGTGTTTTTTGTCATTAAATTATATATAGTTAATTTGAAAATTATATTTCAAAAAGGGCCCAACGGGATAGAAAAGCTAACATTTTTACCTTTAATTTGAGCTATTATAAAAGATTTTTGGATTAAATTTGAAATGGAGAGAAGAGGTGGCCCACTTGAGAAAGAATGCCTCATATATATATATATAAATTGTGCACAAATTTGTTGGTGGAATCTACTGGTAGTAACTGTTTCTCTTGCAGGAGTAGTTAAAGAAAAACAGTTACAAAAAATGGCAGCAGGTAAGATTAATTCAAATATTTTAAATAAATCAACATTTTTTCTCAATATCAATTGATATATATATATAAAATAGAAAACAGTGACCAGTGGTGCTCTAACGATAACAAATTAAAAAAAGATAACTTCAGGAATGTCACTTGATTGTAAGTGGCCAGTTACGTAAACCTCTCCTTCTAATTGGAGCAGAAATTGCAGTCTGCGACAATTTGTGAAACGTGCCGTACATTCTGTCAAAACATAACCTATTTTTCCTTTTTTTTTAAAATTGTGCAAATTTGTTGGTGGAATCTACTGGTAGTAACTGTTTCTCTTGCAGGAGTAGTTAAAGAAAAACAGTTACAAAAAATTCCTGAAGTTATTTTTTTTTAATTTGTTATCGTTTGAGCACCACTGGTCACTGTTTTCTATTACTAACAGTGATTGACGAAAACACCCAATATTCAATATTTTTCGATTTAATTTTTTTAATATTTGAACTAGCAGAGCTACGCGCGCTAAAGCGCGTGCGATATATCTGTTTCTGTCTTATGATACTCAAGACCTTATTTTATTGTGTGTATATAAAAATGTGACTAAGACCTTATGATCCGTTTTTTTCTTCTTCTGAAATATTGGAAAAAGATTACAATTTTTTTTGAAGAATTAAAAAAACATAAAACACGAAAACCAAAAATTAAATTTAACACACTGAGCTATATTGTAAAATGTTTATAAAACGTTAAGGCAATTACAGATTTTCTCAAGATAATAGCAAGGTTTTTTTGCAAATAGAAATAACATTACCAATTTTTTGAAATTTGTACCACTGTTAGATAAAAGTTTTTAAAAAATGTAGTTAAATTTTTTAGACCTGTGGGTACTTGTGAAAAAAGTTATAAGCGTCTTTGTTTTTAACTTTTAACATTGAGTTTTGTGGGAATTAAGAACATTTTCAAAAATATTTACTCACCACAAAGTACTAAACATTAAGAAATTAATAAAACATTTTTTAATACGAGACAGATATATAATAGTTAAATATCTGTTAAAAAAGTGTCATTAGGTACCTGTGAGAGTTGCAATAAATTAATTTGTAAAAAAATTTCATGTTTTATACAGTATATTTAACAGCTGTTTAAACATCTGTAAAAATTGCACACAATTTTCTACTCAAAACTAAATGTAAACAAGTCATACCAAGCATTTGCAACACGACTAAAGAAATACGAGACACATGCTTATTCCCGGAATCTTTTTTGACCAAATAGTTATTTGATATAAAACTACTTAACTTAAAATTCACATAATGTGCACATTATTCGACATAAATTTCATTGCACACAAAAACCATTTAACATAAATATCATTTGTCATAGAATTCATTAAACAGAAATATTATGTTACATAAAACTCAGATAACTTAATTCCCATTTGACATAAAAATTATGTAACATAAATTTCATTTGACGTGAATATCATTTAACATAATTATTATTTAACGTAAAATTAAATTTATATAAATTTCATTTAGCATAAATGCCATTTAACTTAATTCTCATTTGACATAAAATTTACTTGACATAAATTTCATTTGGTATAAATCCCATTTAACATAATTTTCATTTGATATAAAGTTCATTTGACATAAAAGACATTTAACACAATTCTCATTTGTCATAAAAGTCATTCAACAAAATTCTCATTTGACATAAAAATCATTTTACACAAATTACATTTTACATAACAATATCGGCGCGAATTTTAAAAGTAACCAATTAGATATTATCAACAACATTGTGATTCGACAATTTTGTAATTCGCGCCTATATTTCTATGTCAAATGATCTTTATGTAAAATGAAATCTATGACATCTGAATTTTATGTCAAATGAGAATTATGTGTAATGACTTATCTGTCAAATGAAATTGATATCAAGTGAACTTTATGTCAAATAAAAATTATGTTAAATGGGATTTATACCAAATGAAATTTATGTCAAGTATATTTTATGTCAAATGAGAATTATGTTAAATAGAATTTATGCTAAATGAAATTTATGTAAACTTAATTTTACGCTAAATAATAATTATGTTAAATGATATTTACGTCAAATGAAATTTATGTCAAGCTAATTTTATGTCTAATGATATTTATGTCAAATGAGAATTACGTTAAATGACATTTATGTCAAATGAAATTCTAACCAGCTGTACACTGAGAGAAGTCCAGGGCGTAATAGTTACCGCTAGACCTCGCTATAAGCTACTGTTCTTGTTGCGTTTGAGATGTTTCGAATCTAGGGCTCAGACGCCCCGAGTCTGTCAAACATTGTTCCCGCATGTGAGAGAACAACTCGTGACCGAAACTAAAAGTTGTAAGTAATCCCGCTTCGGGACGTTCCACGTTTTTTATCGGGGCTTGAGACGTCCCGATCGAGGGTTCACATAAAAACATTCAAAATTATCACTCAAGCCTCGCACGGGACGTATTAGTTCCCGGACTTCTCTCAGTGTATCATCGGTTTCAAATCCATTGTACATACGCACATATGGGCACATAGGCACAGGAAAGAATTTCTGCGACGATCCCTCACTGTAGTGTTCAAAGAGAATAATAATCAGACCTTCAGGACACAGGGTTGCCACGGACCTGGGAAACCTGGAATTGTCATAGAATTTTTTTTAGTCATGGAAAACCTGAAAAACCTGTAATTGTCAGGGAATTTTATAAAGTCTGATACTAAAAACTCAATTTTTTTGTATTTGAGTCTTAAAAATTTGAAGTTTTCAAGTTGACATTGTACAACTTTTTTTATTTTAAATTTGGTGCTTAAAATTAAAATCAATATGACATTTCGAAATTTTATTTTCTTTTAGTAAATATCTTCCTTTAAATAATTTTAAAATTAATATATTTTAGAAACCCATAAATATTATAAAACTGAATTTACCAACTTTTATGCAATGAAAATTTTTTCTTTATAATAAATATTATATTATTTATTTATTACAGGGTTGCTACAATCTCTGGAAACCTGGAAATGTCAGGAAATTTTATTTTGTATGTAAAAGTCAGAGAATAGTCAGGGAAAAATGAGAAAACATCTGGAAAATAATTTTCTGTTAAAATTATGTTAATTTTTGGCGAATTTTACTGAATTTTACCATGAAAAAGTACCCTTCGGTAATTTTTTCCCTACACTATCTAAAACTGAATCAGTAAAATTTGACTGATTTCAGTGACTCTATTCTCGCGATTTGAGTCAGTGAAATTTCACTGTAGATCAATTAAAAATGATTGAAATTTCAGTCATATTTCACTGATTGACCAATTAAAAAATAACTGAAATTTTAAATATTCGTGACTGAAAGTACCAGTACCTTTTTAATTGGCCAATCAGTGAAAAATGACTGTTAACTGGTCTACTAATCGGGAGAAACCGGAAATATGCCAGGAATTTTATGTCAAACCGAGAATTTTTTCACCAAATTAAAAAAAATTTTTATTATTTTAATTTGTTTTTAAAAAATCGATTTTTATTTCAATTTTTATAGATATTTATACTGTTTTCTAAATTTGAACTAATTAAAAATAATTTATTTGATAGTAAAAAATTAGTCACTGATTTAAATAAAGTATGTAAATAAATTTTTAAAAATTATTGAATTAATAGAAATTTTGTGAAATTCAACTGAAAATAATTAAATTTGTTAAAGAATTTCATTAGAAACTTTTTAACAAATAGAATTTTCAAAGTATTTTAATTTAATAATTGATAAATAATTTAATTTTATAAAGCGAGTTAGTCACATTCTAATCTATTCTTGTTATTTAGTTCCAAAATTAATAATTCAAATTTTTATTGGTTAATTTTAAATAAACACACGCTTAAAATTTTTTAATAAAATTGAATTTTTGCAAAGTTTTTTTCAAAATTTTGAATAATAAGATTTGTAAAATTTTTCAATTCTATTGTTTCAAGATAATGCCATTAATAAAATTATTTTTATTTTAGAATTGGCACGTTTCTGCGAAATGAAAATTCTTGAATCTGAAGCCAATATAATTGCTTTTATTAAGAAGACTAAAAGAAATCTTCAATTTGATTCTACTCACAATTTAAAACAAATGACGACACTTCTTGCAAATAATAATTATCATAATCAAAATACTGTCAACGTCGAAATTGAAAAAAGAACTGAAATTACAGCTATTCTCCAAGAAACGTTTCCGATCAATGATGACGTCAAGTTTTTAAAATTCGAAGAATCATTGCATCCTACAAATTTAGGGGCAAGAGATAACAATGGACAAATCATCGAGTATTCTAGTGTGCAGAAACAAAAAGCTTTGGTGTCTTTATTTTCGGTTTGGATTTCAGCAAATGATACTTGGAAAGACTGCTGTAAACGATTACTTTCCAACACGGTGCATAAGGATGTTCAAAAGCTTTATAGTGGACAAGGAAGACAAACATCGACGTCAAAAAAACGGAATTTTAGTGAAACACAAATTTTTAAATGCTTACAAAGTAATTATTAAATTAAAATAATAATACAATAAAATGAAATCTTCAATTAAAATTAAATTTAATCAAAGATAAAAAAATTACCAGAATTTATTTTATTCTTATTAATTTGTGTTTTTATTTCCAAACAGGCTTTATAATTCAACAATTCCCGAACCAGAAAATGAATCTTCTTCAGTATGTGCAGGGCTGACAGTGACTCACTTTTCTCACTTTTACTAACTTTTTTCCAGGTCACTAACTATTACTCACTTTTTAAAAAAAAACTCACTTTTCTCACTATTTTTTGTAAAATATCTTATTTCTCAATTTTAAAAAAATAATTTTTATTTAAGGGCAAGTCCAAGTTGAAAAATGTAAACAAACAAAAAAGTAAACAAACCAAACACTAAAATCGCAATTGTTTGGGAGCCTTTATTCGCATAAAAATTAACATTTTTACACTTTCTATACAAAAATGGTAAATTAGAGTGTCAAAGTTTGCAATGAAACCACATTTGACTATGAGTAGAGAAAGGTAGATTATGCGATTGCATAATTTTTTAAAATCGAGTAGAAACATTATAATATTATGTTAATTCATATTTTAAACATTTAAAAAAATAAAATATAAGTAACAAATGTTACCAAAAATTTAGATAATATTTTTATAAACTACTTTTAGCTTTTATTGTTGGTTGTGATTGTTATACGATTCAATCATAAGTAGAATATCAGAAAAATATGAAATATAAAATTTTCAGGAAAGTTTTACGCTACATTTTCGCTTATAATAGAGTTGTCGAAAATGTAATTTAAATCATCAGGAAAGTTTAAAGCTAAATTTTTGGTAAAAGTAAAATTTGACTATAAACATTTATTGAAGTGATGGGACATTTAAGGGGACTTTCTGGTTTAGAATAGACAAAAAATACACTTTTTTAAACTTTTATTGTGAAAAAAGTATTACAGTTTTTGCCAAAATTCTTTTTGGACATTGTTACAGATTGCGTGGAAAGAATATTAAAAATTTTTTGAAGTAAATTTAGTTACGTATCGTAGATATAGGTGGCGTCACTTAAAAAGGACCTTTTTGGGGGAGTAACTTTCCGAATGACCAGTAACTCATAAATTAAAAATTCAAACTGGATTCTGTTCATAAGTATTTGTTCTAGGTAACAAACCTAAAAAACGATTTTTTAAATGTATATTTTTTTACCTACTAGAGTGAGCTAAGAAACGGACATAAAAATTGCTATAACTTTTTTCCTTCTCATATTTTTTCAGAATAGTTTTGGGAAAGTAATTTTATGATACTAAGGAACATTTTAAAGCAAAAAAATCGATTTTTTTAAAATCCTAAACCAGAAAGTCCCCTTAAATCTTTGCACAATTTTCACTAAACTTTGCAAGTAAATTTTTCAAAGTTTGCAAGTATGTAAATCTTTAATAAATTTTTAGGAAAGTTTTGGTACTGTGTAGGAATACTCATAGTCAAATATGGTTTCATTGCAGACTTTGACACTCAATTTTGCGATTTTTGTTAAGAAAGTGTAAAAATAAGAAAAATGGATGGTAAAAGTATTAAATATCTGTATTATTTATTAAATTGAGAAGAAAATTGATATTACAGGTTAATTATTAATTTCAATTTTCAAAAATATGCCAAAAATAACCTTACTTTTTACTCACTATTTTACTTGAAAATTCACTATTTACTCACTTTTTTCAATCAAAAACTCACTTTTTTCACTAGTTTTAACTTATAAGTACGCTGGCAGCCCTGTATGTGGGGAGTTTACTGTCACAACAACCGAAAGAAAAAGAAGCAGTTACTTAAACAAAAGTATATTCAATATACTTCAGGATGTTTTGTTTTATTTTTTCCACTTTATTTTTTATTAACTAAATTATTATTGTTTATTCACCAAATATTAAACTTATTAAGATTTTTAATATTTAATGTTACTTTAAAATTGTAAAACGTCTTTTAATATCATTAGAATAATATGAATGAATATTAATACGGTCAATAGATAAATAAAAAGTTCCTATGAATTAAAAGTATTAAGTTTATTTGTGCCTAATTGTATACATAAATTTATGAGATAAAACATTTATTGGAATATCTGACCAATCAAAATACGAAACGAATTGAATTTCAATTTTATTGACTATGCAATAGAGAAATTGCAGAATAATTTTCACAAATGTTTAGAAGAATACATTTTTCTTTTACGGAATTAAGATTAAAATTTTGTGCGACAGTATTAAAACCGTTTAAAGAAAAAATTCCAATTTCTGAAGATGGACATGGTATATTGAAAAGATCCTTACTCCCTGAATCGCAATATCCCTCAATTATTATTTCTTCCGCTCTTGCAATGTTAAGGTCAACATTTTCATTTATGAAAATCCTCTTGATTAAGAGGAATCGGTTTTCGACTAAATGAACCAAGTTATTTGGTTCTTTTGTTTCGAATAATAACTTGTTTATATTTTACTGATTCTAACTTAATCATTCGAAATCCATTCCTAATACTGACGCTTAATGGATTTTGTGCAATGCAATCACTAAGAATTTTTTTCTTTTTAATTTTTCTCTCTTCTCGTTTATTCAAAGCTGATAGTTTATTTACAATTTGAGCAAGAGGCTTCGTATAACCCGTTAATAGATGTTTAAATTTTCCAATAAAATTTTCTCCCCAAAAAGCAGATATTTCACTTAGTGGAACCTGAAAGTGTTCGACGTCTTCGCTAAGGTGAAGTAATCCATGAGCATGCATGACTTGACAATCTTCTCTATAATAGCTTAACATTAAAATAAAAAATTTGTTTAAAAAGTTTTGTGCACTTTCACAACATTGAACAGCCAATTCTTCGCTACACAATATTCGGCAGCCAGCATTGAGATGAAGAAAATGAATGTAAACATCCTCTGGCAAGACATGTTTTAAAATTACAGGTCCAGCGTAGAGAATAAGAAATGATACCTGAGTTGCTTTCCATTGAGTAAATAAATCAATATCAAACTTTTTGCGTTGAAATTCCACAGGAACGAATTCCGACATATTTTGCATTAGGGTTCTAAAGGTATTAACTTTATCTGATTTCAATTTACATTTATTTTTTTTAATAAGCCAATTCGTCATCATAGCTTTTCCGAGATTGAGAAATAATAAATGCATAATTTCCAAAGGAACATCTTTGATAGGATCAATTGGTATTTTTAATAACGGTGATATACAATCAGTCGGTTGATGATTTTTGTCCTCCTGAGAAATGAATGATTCCAAAGTACGTTTTCTACAATTCACATTTGGAAAAACTCTTTTTCTATTAACAGTGACTCCTTCGACTACACATCTCTCGCAAGAAAAAAATCCATTTGGCCCCTTGATACATTTTAAAAATGCTCTCGCTGGAGAATCCGCAATAATGGCTAAAATTTTAAACAGATAAAATATTGTGTTAATCCTTATGCCGTTGGTAGTGTAGTCCTCTGCTTCTTTAACAAAATCTTGCATAAATTCATTGACATTTTTAGGTTTAGAGGCACCGTAATAAAGAGCTACCACAAACGGTTCACATTCATAATCCTTATGAAAAATTTTTAATAAAATAGGCCATAATTGCCCCTTGGAATTGGAGTATACTCTCATGCCATCAATAAAAACAAGGACATTTATTTCAGATTCATGATAAACATCGGTTTTTATTGCATTCTCTAAACCATTTCTTATTCCCAAATAAATGTACTCTCCAATGGTATCATTTTTTGATATAAGGGGACGAGTCTTTATGGAATGAGAAAACCCTAATAAAGTTGAAGCAGAAGATGGCAATTCATTATACCCTTCATTTTTTAAAAGATGAAGTAATTGAGAAGCTGCAGTTAATTTTACATTTGAAATGTTTTTCATTAACCATTCGGTAAGTTTATCCTTCATGCCAATTACTTCATTTTCATTTGGAATCAAGCAGTCCTCCTGTGATATTTGAGAAAGTATTAAACTTTCTACCGAACTGCAGTTTTCAGAATTGTCATTTCCGACACTAGATCCTGAATTTCCACTGCAAAATAATGAATATAATTTTATACACTGTCCATAGAATATAAATAAATTAAGCAAATAAAGTAAATTTAAACGTCTTTTTAAAAATCATGTTAAATTCATTATTATTATAATAGTAAAATTACGTAAAAAAGTAACAAATTTCTTTAAAATTATACAAATTTACATTATTTTTACAGTAAAATTTTTTACCTTCCATTAGGTTCTTCAATATTTTCGTTCAGCTCTCTATCGTCTTCTACTATATTTTGAGCAGTAGAGGAACTAGTTTCTTCGGGTTTTTTCAATTCTATAGGATTTTCCTCATCATTTTCGTCACTAGATTCCACACTTTGTTGTAAAAAACGTAGTTTTTGCTGTCTAATAGTAGAACTTTTTTTAAACAAGTCCATGATGCTATTTGGACAACATCTAACCTCTTATAAAAATAATATTATACACTAACCTGATCTGACCTAACCTCACCTTCAGAATGCAGTAAAGTGGCGCACTTTATCAAAATATTTGAAATGTTTTTTTCTTAAAAAGTATTCTTATTTAGTTATAATTTCTCACATTTAAAAAAACAATTATTCACGATTTCAAATTATTCAATAAATAAATATTACTGCATATTATATAATAATAATAATAATAATAATAATATTATTATTATTATTATTAATTATTTAATTAAATATTCTAATTTAAATGATAATTATTAAAAATTAAAAATATTTATTGAACAATTATTAAATTTAATTAATTATCAAAATTAATTAATAAATTATTATTATTATTTATTTAATTATTATTATTTTATTAATTTAATTATTATATATATAATTATAAGCTGAATAATAATATCAGCGTTGGTTCAAGCATGAATAAAGACTGGATGTTGAAGCTCCACTCACGAAGATTGACCGAGTCTTGAATCGAGCATGGGACGAACATTGGTGTCCCATGCTGAACCAATATTGAGTGACAGTGATATAAAGACTGCTTCAACTCTGGGTTACCCACGCTGGGCGTTCAAGACTCAGTCAAGTTTCAACCCATCGTCAGCACTGGTCTTTCGCGCCTGGGTAGTATTATCAAAAATTTTAATAAAATTCTTCGCAAGAATTAAATTATATTCATAAATAATAGCATTCTTTGGAAGGATTCAATTACTTTCATAAAAAATGTAGTCAAATTCTTTGCAGAAAATCAATTATTATCAATATAATT